AATCCCAAGAAACTTCACACCTCTATGGAGGGGATAAAAATAGACACCATCTGTCCCCCCAGGCTCAGTTACAGCCTCATTCCTTTTGGCATGGAAGGAGGGAAGGGAAGGAAACACTTAGATGGGTAGAGGTTGGCACCAGAGTCTAAAAGCTCCTCTCTAGTCATTGCATGTGACTGTGTGACCTCTGCTGTATGTTTTGAGGCAAAATGAATTTGCCTGTTCAGTCGTTTCATTCCCTACAATTACTTTTTGAGGGTTTCGACCACCACAATGACAAAACGTCAGTGACCAGGGGTCTTCTGACACCTTTGGAACTGTACACTACAGTGCACTCACCACATAATTTTTCTCCTCAGCTCAAGTTCTTCACGTTTCATTAATCATGCTTAACGCAGGAGCACTCCAGGGTCAGGGCAGGTGTTGTGTTTTAAAATCAGTGCCTGTATCGTTTCTCATTTACAGAATCTTGATGGCACCTTTTAACTGTTTCATGCTTGAGATGTCAGGTCTGGTCACGTCAGCGCAGAGGATCTCTCTCGTAGATGGAGGTCAGAGTCAGAAAAACTTTGAATTGAGAAACTTGAGGTATTGCTTCATTGAGTCATGAATTCAATGAGCTAATATACTTTTCATTTATCTGTGTGGCATACTGTGTAGTTACCACATCTAAGCAGTATATATATTTTTTTTCTTATTTCGACTGCTCCTTTGGTCAGGGGTTGCCACAGTGAAATAAGTCGCATGAAGACTTTGCAATTATTTTTATGCGGGATGTCGTTCCTTGCACAACCACAGACCACCGAGCTACCACAGCCATCTGTGTGGAGCAGAGAGCTGCTAGGGTGCCCGGAGGAGCAAATGGTGGGGGTTAAGGGTCTTGCTCAGGGTACCAGAATGGGGCAAATGAGGGTGGAGGCAGGTTTGGGTGCTTCACCTATCCCACCCACATTTTAATGTTGTCAGTACTAGGAGTTGAACCTGTGATCTTCTGATCACAGGCCCACCTTCTCTAACCTCAGTGCCACCACTCCCACTATATAAAAATGAAAAAAGGCTGGTGTACAGACCAAAACAATAAAGTTGAAAATAACTATGACCCTGCTGAGGCATGTGGTGCCCGATTTCATGCATGTGCATTGGTATCAAAGGTCAATATGTGGTTTGGTTGCAAGAAGTATCTTGTAATTTAGTATCTCTCAAAAACTCTTTTGCATATGGAGCATACTGCTACAATATGTATCCGTCTCTGCATGGTAGATAACACACTTGTCTGAGATATGGCCAACTTAGAGGCAACTTGTGCATATGTTGCCAGAGTAACACTGGCATTTAGGACTAAAACATTTCAAGATACATGTATGTTTTGAGGTATAAACGGGATTTGCAGATTTCCTGAGATCAACTTCCTGTCAGGCATGTTGGAGGATTAACGATAAAAGTGTAATAGATTACACAAAGGAATAGCTAAGATCTTCAAGTGCCCCATTAAACATTGACAATGAATCAGTGCGCACAACAAGACCTTCTCACAAACTGAATGAAGACATGAGGACTTCATGTAATGACAAAATGATTCCTGTGGGGAAAAAAGTATTCTGATGAATTGATTTGCTCATATCAGACATTGTGTCATTACAATCACTTTATAGGACATAACGTTAAAAAGATGTGTGTTGCCATTTAAGAACGGCATCATCTCAACACTGTCACTTAGCAGAGCCCACAGCAGAGCTGAGAAGATGTGACACAGAATCAACACATGGTGAGATCAATCAAAACAACTGCAAGGACATAAACAAGGAAACAAAGTAACAGAACTCCAAATCACATCAGTGAGAGTTAAATTAAATGGGTACTTTAACAATGTACATGAATGGATCGATATTTTTGGCCTTCATGTGAGGTCATAGAACAGAAGAAGACCCTACCCTAAGGATGAGACCACCGCCTGAAAGCGTCAAACATGACACTGCACTTCCCCAGGTCAACAGCAGCACACGTCAGGCCTGAAATAGATCAAATGAACAGATAAACATATTTAAGGCCACTTTTTAAAATGTCTAATAGAAAACGTTTTGACAGATATCGTAATGTCCACTGTGTTTTGGTTATTGTTCATGGCATCCAATAAAAAGTGAGTTGTTCATTCTTAGCCTCTTATTTTTCTTGAAGAAAACAGAAATCTGGTTTTAGAGTCTGCTCTTTTGCTTCTACACATTTAGCTGCTGAGAGAAAGTTGAATTATTTATGCATGTCTTAAATGTGTTTTATTGTCCACCAAAGTTCAGTCAGGTCACCTGGACGGTTTCTGTTTTTGTTGAGATGTTTCATCCTTCATCCAAAGGACTTCAGTCCAAGGAGCCATAACAAACCGAGTCCCACAAGCACACTCACATAGTTGGCCAACCAGTTTGATGGTGATAAGATGGTTTCTGGGGCCCGCCCTCTCCCCCCCACCCCCGTTGACTCCTCTGAGATAGCCATAATCAAAGTGGTTCAAAACATCAAAGTTCATGCCCAATAATCCAGGTAAAAAAAATCCAACAAAGTTCAGTCAAGTCATTTGAACCTCAAGGATGAAACATCTCAACAAGAAAAAAAAAAAAAAAAAAAACATCCAGATGACCTGGCTGAATTTTGTTGAATTTTTTTAACCTGGATTATTGGGCATGAACTATGGTGTTTTATAGTGTTGATGGTGTGACAAAGTGGAGCTAACCAAAAAGCTGCATATTGTGAAGGAGCCTCAAAACATTCATGAGATGCTCACCAAGATAAGCTAAAGCACCATGCAGAGGTTTTGTTTGTTTGAGAATTTTTAAAGACGTTTTCAGATGATATTTTCCTTGTGTGCATATGCCCAACTTAATGTGGTGTGAAATGAAAAGAGGTGAAAGAAATCACAGAACCATTACCTTGACAGCTTTCAAAATTATTTTGATATTTCTGATTCTGCTATGATGGACAGTCGGAAATCAGCACTGCAGTTTTTTTGTTGAACAGAACTTTATTTTCTCCTTAAAGGTCTGACCTCACACCCCAGGATCATGTTCTCTTAGAAGCTGCCCACTGATGATGAATAAGGGCCTGCAAGTTTAGTTATGAGAACAATGTGTTATCTAAGACAATGTTTTAAAATATTGTTGTAACAGAACACTCAAACATATTTAGAAGCTGATCATATATTATACTGGGGGCAAAGAATTCATTTAGAAAAGAAAATTTATATTGAGGAAATTCAGATGTGTCGAACCGCAATTTTTTAAATTTAGATTTTCTTAAAAGTAATAAAATCCTTTCCTTTTTCATTTACACAATAAAACTTGTGCGGTTACATGCGATTGCTAAACAGACTTCATCTGCCCCCCTCACCACCACTCTGCCCCTTTCATAAGCCGACCTGCCATCACATCTTAATAAAGCTCAGCTCTGCCAGGCTCTTGAATGCATCAAGATTCTGTAGTGGAGCTCAGATTGGACCGCAGCACAGGTGCAAACACTGGGGCAGGCTTTCTATAGGGGGAGGGAATGAAGAAAAGTCAAACGCAGAGAAGATGCAGTGGAGTGCCGGGGGTAGATGACAGCTGAGGGACTGGGCTTTCTGTGGCTCATACCCTGACGGAGATGGGGTCAGTGAAAGCAAGTGGGTGGGGAGTGTGTAGGCCAGGGGGCGGGAGGGTGAAGGATTTTATGCAGCTCCTTCGTCACCATCCCCTGCCTTGGCGGTAGGGGCAGGTTGCACCCCTGGGGCTTGGAGACAGATATAGACAAGAATTAAGGAAGCAGAATTTGCACTTTCGGCCTTGTCTGTGTTACTGGCAACAGCAGCTGAAAGCCGCTCGAGAGCTCCAGCTCATTGTGCTTTTACATCACATCCGTCCTATGGGGATGTGTGTGTGTGTGTGTGTGTGTGTTTGTGGGGGGGTGGGGGGGGGTACTTAGCTCCAAACTGAACAAAGGTGCTGCTTTGTCCAACACAAAGAGCAGAATCAAATTGGATGTGAACAATATTCCTTCTTTCCCCTTCTTAAGCCCAAACTTCTGACAGTTTGGGATTAAAAACTAACTTTCTTCTCATCACCATTTCTTCCCAAAGACATACATCTGAAGAAAAAAAATCTTTATTGATCTCTGTGAGCTGTTTCAAACACATTAAGTAGGACTGACTGCCAAAACAAGGCACTGGTGCACATTAAAATATAAATCTTAAGATGCCTTGTTTATATATGGCTGTCCCTTTTTATTTTTTCCCAAATGTAAAGGTTCTTTGCCATCCATCGTGTTATGTATTCGATTCAGACTTACGCACACACAATGCATTTGCCAGACTCCAAAATATTCATATTAAATAAGAAAAAGAAAAATAAGGAATGTCCATATTATATTAATTTACATATTTGTCCTGGTGTACCATCCAGATATAATCTTGACTTGCTCCGCAGGTCTCAGGTGCCCCTGTCCTGCAGTCATGTGCCAGAGGCAGGAGACACTCAGGACAGGTCTCTAGTCCATCACAGGGACACATAGAGACAAACAAGACAAACAATGGGACAATTTATAGTTATAAGTTAACATAACATTGTTTTTTGGTCGGTGGGAGGAAACAGGAGAAAACACGCATGCAGTCTTGGAGCATTTTTGTGTGTGTGTGTGTTCTTTAAGGCTTTAAAGATACAGCCACCATGTTTGAAAGAAAAAAAAATGTGAAGCTCAGATCCTGATAAACCTTCAATCATCTTCCAAACGTGTCATCCGGATGTTCCGTGCGTAAAAGTGAAATGTGGTCTGGAGGAAATCCTTTAAGCCCGCAGGTAAACTTTCACACCACGTCCACTGTTTTCATTTCTGATTGATTGAATGAACAAACTCCCTCTGGTCTGCAACCTTATATTCTATGTTTAGAGAGAAGCCCATCACACTCTCTCACCACTCCCTCCCATGCGCCATCCAATCCTTACAGGGGAACGGTGTTGACGAGGGTCAAGAGGAAAAATAGCCTCATATATACGCCCAAAGGGTGATTTCTTCCTCTGAGTCCCCTCCATTCTGTCGTGCACTTCTTGTGTGTCACCCAAACCGGGAATTGTCTGCACCTGTAGGACAAAGTAGTTGAGCTATCAGTTGAAATGGCACCTAAGAAAGATCCCAAGGCTCCCGTCAAGAAGGCTGAACCGGCACCTGCACCTGCACCAGCACCGGCACCAGAACCTGCAGCGGCTCCTAAGGCTCCAGCCGTCGACTTGTCCGCAGTCAAGGTATGATGATACTGAAGGCTCTGTCTGATGGGTGTAAGGAGGAAGTGATATGATGCAGGTGGCTCAGGAAGAGCTTGGACTCAATTTCATTTTAACATGCATAACTAAACTTTATGAGTGCAGTTTGTTTAGGGCACAGACTCAAAAAGAAAAGTTGTCATTTGTTTTTAAGGAGCTGATCATGTGAAGATAGAAAAGGCCTCCGTATTTATTTTATTAGCTTGAGAAAAAAAAAAACATTTGAACATTTTCAAGAGCTACACAGGAAGTAATGTGGGCAGCTTCAGATCTGGAAAACAAGAAAAGTGACTGAGCAGAACCATGGATAGCTCATCATGGTTTAGACCAGGGCTATTCAACAAAATTGCTTGGGGGTGGGGGCTACAGTTTCTGAAAGCCAACAGCTTCGGGGCTGAACATGCAGTGATTAAAATCATTCTGTAAATAAACTAAAGTTTACAATTATCTGTTACCTTTTAAATTAGTTTATTTTATTGCATTGAATCATAAATGCAATAAACAGAGCCCAAAACCTAAACCCAGAACCATTTTTTTTAATTTTATTTAACTTTTTTTTTTTTTAAATGAAGTGAGCCAGATTGAGGTCATCCGCAGGCCGGAAGTGGCCCGAGGGCCGCCAGTTGAATAGCCCTGGTTTAGACCACTCCCAGGTCTCTAAGGATTGGATTTACTGAGTAGTGACTAATGCATGATGGCGATGCATAATGACTCCAAATGTGGACATGTTAATGTAGCTAAAGATGGAACAACCCAGGTCATGTGCCTCCACCTGAAGCTAACTAATGGCAGATTTTGTTTAGTTTTTTTGGTCTAAGTTATATACAAAGTGCCTTTAGTTCTGCTGGTGTTCTTGTTGAAACGTATGTGGTGTTGCGGACATATTGCACTTACACAGCTGCTTTCTGTTGCCTTGTAGATAGAATTCAGCGCAGACCAAGTTGAAGGTATGTAAGACACCTCTCACCATTGCAATCACACTGCATCACATGACATTTGACACAGTTCCCAAAAACAGACATAAAACTGACCTTTCACCTATTCCTCACCTGACCTATTGACAGTCAGCCTTAAATCTTTATTTCAAAATTTTAACAACGTCAGAGTTTTGCGAAATAGAATACTTTAAAATGCACAAATCACTGAGTGACAGGTGGTAAAGTGTTACAGACAGGGGGCCACCTCAGTCATATATGTGTTTTGGCATTCCTCCACAATATGAAATGTCTTGAGAAATTTGAGAGAAGGCAAAAGAAAAAAAAAAGGTATATTGGAAAAAAAAAATCATCTTTGAACCAAACATCAAACAGTTATTGTGATTTTATTGAAAGTGAATTGCAGACTTGCTTAAATCCTTTATTTGTTGTATGAAAATAAGTGAATATAGCTGTAGTGGTTACCTGTGCAGCAGGTCAAAATCTATTAAACTATCACCTGCAACCAGAGCAGAAAAAACAAACTAGTGTAAGAAGCATTAAAAGCTTTTTTTTTGTTTAACGACAAAACCGTCTGGTGTCACAGATGAGTTCAGTACATCTTTGGATCAGTGAAATTAAATATGCACGGAGCAATAAGCAAAAATGAACAATAAAATGACAGTGCAGTCTTTGCTGCTGGTTCCTATTGGCCACCACGGGACCAGACCCTCTGTCTGACCGGCTGCTGGTTACACTGCTGTCAGCATTCCCTACTTTTACCCGGCTCGCCCCCAGAAGGCCTTGCCTTTAAAAGGAGAGCTCATGTTCTCAGCTATGTTGGTCAATTCCAAGGTGGTATTTTAAAAAGAGCAATAGCTCTGCTGTGAGAGAAGGAGACAGCTGAGACTGAAATAGTGCATGGGGTGACGGGGCTCAGTAGGAGTCAGTCCATTCAGCCAATGATACCAAAACCTTCTTGGATGTCTTGGGCTTATGTGTTTTCCCTGTCAGTAAGGAGCGTAGCTGCTTCCACCTGGTGGCAGGTGTGCAACAGCTAGCTGCATTTTATTATAAAAAGAAAAAAGAAAAAAAAGGAGTTAAAACATGCATTTCAATGTCACTATTGGTGTTTTTTTTTTATTTTTTATCCACCTATAACTGTTTGGGCTTTTTTTAAATCCAAGATTATGCCCAAATTTAGAAACTCAGCAAAGAAAAACATAAAAAAAATAAAATAAAATAAAAGATTTTTCAGGAATTTCAATTAAACAAAAAAAAAAAAAACAACCACTCTTGCAGTTGTTAATTCCAAAAATTGACGTGGCTAATGCAATTAAATGCAAAATAAGTTACTGTTTTAGATGATGAAGTTGTCACAGTTTAGTAGTTTGAAAACATTCAATAAAAAATTAGGACAAAAGCTCCACTTAGTAAAACTCAAACACCTCTGACACACAAATGTAAATAACTCAATAAAAATGAAAGCAATGGTTGAATAAAGTCAACACATTCTCTTCTCCCTCCATTCAATAGACTACAGGGAGGCCTTTGGCCTGTTCGACAGGGTGGGTGACAACAAGGTGGCTTACAACCAAATCGCTGACATTATGCGCGCTCTGGGACAGAACCCCACCAACAAGGAGGTGAACAAACTGCTTGGAAACCCCACAGCTGAAGGTAAGTGACACATTCAGTAACATTAAAATCGGATGCATGGTGTTACTGGCACACACATGCCTGTTTTAAGTAGCCATTGAAGTTTTGCAGAGTGCAACTTGTGAGTAGGTTCAAACCAACTCACTGAAGGGGGAGGAAGGAGTAGACATTAAGCTTTTTATTAGAAGAGGCCAGTGCATCACTGCTTTTTTTCTTGTATTGTTGCTCTAAATAACTGCAAAGTGTTCAAATGTGCATTGTTGTACTCTTGAAAAACTATAGATGTGGTCCTTGCAGGATTACGGCAATGACTAACTAATTTAAAAATGGTTGAACATGATTGTTTATTATGAACAAAGCCGTGAACCCATCAGCTAAAGCATTTTATCTGCAAAACTCACTTTCATCTCATAAACCTGCAGAGCTTGTATAAATGGTCAATTTAGTCCTAATTCTTATTATTTTTTTATATTTTTACAACCTTTTTTTGTTGTTGTTCTTTCAATCAGATATGGCCAACAAGAGAGTAGAGTTTGAGTCCTTCCTCCCTATGCTCCAGACCATCATCAACAGCCCGAACAAGGCAGGGTTTGAGGACTACGTTGAGGGTCTGCGTGTCTTTGACAAGGAGGGCAACGGCACTGTGATGGGCGCTGAGCTGCGTATCGTCCTGTCAACACTGGGTAAGTTCTGAAATGCTGCATATAAAATGTTTGTGCTTGTGTTGTTTTGTGTGGTTTTACCACCAGACGTCTTCTGTCTCCTCCTGTAGGAGAGAAAATGAATGAGACTGAGATTGACGCTCTCATGGCTGGGCAGGAGGATGAGAACGGCTGCATCAACTACGAGGGTGAGACACAAGTTCAACATGACCAATATAGTACTGCAAGTATTACTGTTAAAATAATACAAAAAAAGAAGAAGATTCAAACTAGGAATAACATCAAAACTGTTTGGTTTTTTTTGTTACATTTTTGCTGACACCACCTATTGTTTTATCCTATCAACATATAGCATTGATGTTATATGTCGAATAGCAAGATGAGCTGCTGCTATTTATTAATTTTTTTAATTTATCTATTTTCTGAGAAGACTACCTACAAGGTAAAACTGTGAAATCTCTCATTACTTTCAACTAAACAATAAAAAAAGGTTTAGAGTATCAATTTCAACTTTAGCTCATCCCACATAGCTAGCACGACACCACTTCTTGGTTAGTGAATTAAAGTTTTGAAATATTGAGGCTAATATTTTGCCCACTGCCATCCTGATCTTAGAAGCAGGTACTTCAAGCACTGGATCTGATTATTTTAATTCTTAGTTTCATTACTTATTTCTCTTCTTTTCCTTTCTTTTTTGCTGCCCTGGCCTCCATCTGCAGCCTTCGTCAAGCACATCATGTCTGTGTAAGGACCCCACCACTGCAGCTGGTGAGCATCAAATAGAGCAGACCCCATGGTGTCGCGACATCCACTCGCTGTTTCCTGAATCATCTGTGGAAGCAGGGGGGACAATGGACTAAGAGATGTCATTTCATTTTTTTTGTCCAACTTTTATTTTTGTCTAAATGGTGCTTTTATTTGATTTTTGTCCCTTCTCTTTTCCTCTTCCTGCTACTTGGAAAGCAGTAACTATTTCCCACGAGGTGCTTCTTTCCTCCTTATCAACCAAGTACCCTGATCTCATTGGTGGGGTGGGGTAGTAATTACAGAGGAACAGTGATGGAGGGGGAGGGGGAAAATGATGACCACTCCCCTCTCACTTATCGTCTGTCTGGCTGTCTGCCATTCAGGTGACTGGTTTGGCCCAAGGACTGGCCATCTAAAGAAATCCATCCTTCACCTGACCCATCCCTGAGTCTTAACCTGTTGTATCATCTGCCATTTCACAATAAACTTTTCATACTCCCATTTTATTTTACCATTTCTGACTCCGTTTCATATTACAGGTTGGGCAATGCATTTAGTCAGATATCCATTTAAAGTAGATGTTTGTGTTTTTACTACAAGCTGACCCAATGTTTTGAGATCTTAAACATAGTGAGGCACACAGCTTTGATCCAAACTCTTGTTTCTGATTAAGTAAATCTTGAATTACTGCATCTGAGTATATTGGATACATACAGAATTAGAACGTTGTAGTCAGTGGTGATTTTAGCCTTTTTTGGGGGGTGCTAAAGCACCCCTAAATTTTAACTCAGCACCCCTAACAAATAAAGAAACCACCATTATGATTTTTTAAGGAAGCTTAGTTCTCAAACCTTACCATCACCAAAATATTGAATACATTTGGAATAAGTATGGAATAAATGATGACACAAATGGATCAGTAAAATCTATGATATTTTACACGAGTCGAATTCTCGACACCACCTTTCAATCATTCCAGTAGGCTTGTCAGCAAATGACCAATCGGCAACCTCAATTTGTAAAAGGTAGGATGCATGACATAAGTGGAGCGCTACATCTGTAGCATCTTAACTAGTGTGTCTATTGTGCACCGCAATACAGTTGTTGGCAAGTGTCAGCCGAGGGTGGTGGTGGTGGTGGTGGTGGGGTGTTAGGATGCGTGAGAGAAGTGTGCTCTGTTCAAACAAGGAGAGCTGTTGGTCAGGCTACTTCTTGTTGTGCCACTAACTCTGAAAGAGTTATTGAATCAAGTGTTTACAGGTAAACGGAGATGTTTACAACTCATTAAAATACACCAGAATGCAAGAAATGGCATTTACTTCATTTAAAAATTTCTGGGGGAGGACCACCATAAAAACCTTTCATATTAAGAAAATAATTCCAGCTGCTTCTATTTTGTTCTTTTCATTTCCCATGTCCTGGATGACTGATATATGGGAAATTACATATGACTGCATATAAAACATATGATACTAACATTAGTGTCGAACATGTGATGGAATCGATACTTGAGTTTGTTGTTACCTTCAGTACGTTTTTCCAGAAATACAATGCTGCGCTAGAGGAGCCATAAGGAGCCAAGATTAAATGTGAACACAGGACCAAGAAACCCTGTCAGATGATAATTTAATCGGTTCTGATCACACAACTTCAAAATCACACATGCTAACATGTAGCATTCATAATTACTTAACTCAGCATGCTGCGTGACGTTAAGTTTTCTTCTGCGCAAGCGGGTCACCTCACATCTGTAAATGTTCACGCTGGAGTCTGATGGAGGTCACATTTTAATGATAACGTGAACGACCATGAAAAGAATCAGATCTGAGCAAAGTGTGAACATAGCCTAAGCTATGTCCTGCAGGTGAGATACTGACTGATAACTTAGAACCCCACTTCAGCAGCTGGTGTTTGTTTCTGGTCATAGTGGAACACTTTTCCTTTGTATTAGATTTCCTATTGTCCCAATAGAAACAAATCTTAGAAAGATTTATAATAAAAGGTACAGTCAGAATATAAAACATAAAAGACAGTAGAACAGGGGTCTGCAACCTTTACAATCCAAAGAGCCATTTCTGCCCTTTCGTTCACCACATTAAACATGTCCAGAGCCACAAAGCCTGTTAAAAAATGTTATTATCAACTGGTAGCCCATGGGCCACTTTAAGTTTGTTAGAGGGGGCTTTTCTGGCCAGTAAGCATGAAATTATAAAACTAAAAACTTCCATTGATTAACATTTGATATTTTTACATTTAAAACAAAATAAAAGACTGGATTCCTTCCATCCATCCATCCATTATCTTTACTCACTTCTTCCTTATCAGGTTGCAGGGGGTCACTGGTGCCCATATCTAGGTCACAAGTCCATCACAGAAGACTGGATTCTTGTAAATATATA